TTTTAGAGGATCGTAGAAAATATCTTCTCTTACATCGGCCAGGTTAATATTGGATGTGGAATTAGTATTATCTTCAATGACAGAAATATCAAGGTTTTCAAATTTGGCTTTTTTTATCGCACGATGGTCTTTTTTACGTAGATTTCTTTTAGAGGCCTTAGATAATAACGCAACGGGTTTATTTTGGGACGACATAGTGATTATACAACAAACAAGTAATTTTTATAAAGAAATTTTTTAAGAAAAAAAGCAAAATTGGAACGGAACTTAATATTAAAGGTGGCCCTATTTATTGGCTTATTCATTAGAGATTGCAATTTATTTTCTTGCATTTGCATTGACACGAAGCAGTATGTAATATGAATGACTCGGCATTGCGATAATTCGACACGAGTCAACTACTAATTGCTATTTGGTGTCATATAAACAAATAATTAAATTGTTTACTAAATTCGACACCACAATTATTGAACACGGCAAATCAATCAACATTCGCACGTTTTCTATATTTGGGATTATTGTACATTGTTCAATAACCTGTTAAGAGGCGCATTTGGCTACTTTAATATTTAGTTGTGAATCGCCATATGTAGTGCCGTGTGACAAACAAATTTAAAATACACATTTGATTGAGGTCATAGATAGGTTTGACTACAAAAAGAATAAATTAATTAATAGCGTATTATTTGATCTTCAACTTTGAATAAGCTATATTGCTGTGAATCGAGGATCCGGAAGTACTGCTTCCTCACATAGTATATCCAAAGTTAGAAAAAAAAATATATCACGATTGTTTACTTGAATTTTTTTACGCCAACAAATTCTATAAGGATTGCGCTCGGCATCGTCACATTGTTCTGGATTTTTGGTCGGATTTTCTTTATTACGGTAATCAGGATCACGGGGATTAGCAGTGACAAGTTTACCTTTAGCATCACACTTAATGTTAAAGCTGGGAATATGGATGTATCCCCTGTATTCTTTTTTTCTGGCCCATTTATCAAAGTCACCACCTATGCCATTCATGTCGGAAAAGGAGGTGGGTGGATCATCATTTGCTGACAATTTTAATGCTCCACAGGCTAACTTTCTTAGGGCATAACCTTCCACTACATCATTCAACTGTTTGTCACAATAATCAAAAAAATTCGGATTATTCTTGATGTAAGAAATGGTAAGAACGTCTGGTGTTTGAAAGGTTACTGCGATTCCTCCTAACGTGTCTCGAAGCAAGAAGGTAACCAAGATGATGATAACTTTGCCAAGCATGACAGCTTTTAGATGGTTATACTGTAACAGTAAGACCAAAGAACAAAAAAGCTTAACGCGAATTTATCGATTTATTTATTTGGTTTATTTGCAATGTTATGAATTTGTTTAAATAAAAACAAGTGTTATATTTGATAAAAATTTTTATTTCTCCCGAGTATTTAACAGAAAGGCATGTACACAAGAAATCATATATAATCGATATATCTATCCTCTTGTAACGCCAAAACATGTAAAAAGAACGGTTTAAATTATATGCAAGAAATTTACTACGCATGGTGATAAATTACATGAATAAATATATGTTACTATGTTGATTGGTACCTTA